TACACTAAACCGTGAAGTCTGCACTACTACGGACATAAATTGACAACAATGGGTTTTGAACAAAGGCAGTTAGGCTATATATATATATATATATATATATAGAGAGAGAGAGAGAGAGAGAGAGAGAGAGAGAGAGAGACCTAGTAGGGTTTTGGAGCCATTTTGGAGGCGCCTAACCCAATTTGAGCTTGAAGTTCATCCCTAAAAGATGTAGATTGAAGATCCTGGAGCCTATTGTATTCTTTCTATGAGGTTGCTCTCTTCACAGAGGTTGATGAACCCTAGTTCTAGATTTTGGCTTGAATGTTGATATATGTGACAAATCCTATAATTGACTACTTCTATATATATATTTGATTGATGTTTATAATGAATTGCATGAGTTTTGATTCCACTACATGTCAATTGACCTTTTGACGTAGTAGATAGAATATCTCCCTAGGTTGAATAGAGCACCTTTAAGCATTCACTATGGGTATTTGAACGAGTGTGATAGGATCCATAGTATTAGGTATTGTCCAATCGTGGGATTTGGTTGTGAACACCTCAATTGCTTATGCCAGTTGTATGGTACACCTCGCCGGATAGAGAAATTGGGCGGGGCTAGATGCCTCGAATACGAGGTCCAATCTAGTATAGAATTCTTCGTAGCAAAAGTATCGATTCAATCATTCTAGGGTAGTACTCAATATCGACCAAATGATGGGGCTATGGCCTCCCCCAAACTTTGAAATACAGATAAATTTAAATGTAAAACTCATACAAATTTAGGAAATAAACTAGTCGCTAAAACATTAGCCCGACCCCCTCATTTAGATTTCTGGCTCCGCCACTATGCCTAAGTGATATCCCAACCCGTAATTAGCTAGATTAGCCTAGTTAGCTTAGTTTCTTATCATTGTTCTTGTTTGGCTAGATAGCAAACCGAAATTGAAGTAACGGTACATCTAGAGATCCGTGGTTTAATAATTTTATTATTTGACCTATTGTATGTTATACCCGGTCGGTGGTTATGTTTGGCCTTCGATAATGAATCGTAGTTAGTGCAAGTCAAGTTTTTGCTGCTGTTGCCGGAGACTTTCTGGGTTATTGGGAAAAGGCTTTTTTTAAAGATATTGGGAGAAGGCTTTGGTTTGTTACTTTAGTTTTTTTTTTGTTTGTATTTTTTTACACACACTTTGCTCAGAAGGGTGTTTTGTGTTTTTTATTTTTAGTGTTTGTGTGATGGAGCAACCAATAAGGTGGAAGTCGAGGATTCTGGTTCTATTACCAACCTCTCTTCCATAAAGAACAACCATATCCATGTGGATATCAAGAAGTTTTTTTTTTGGTAGAAATCAAGAAGTTTTTGATAACACCCAAAATGGTGTTATTTATCCTTCATATTTAGGGTCGTTTCAAGTCATTTTGTGGTCTTAATTGTCAACATATCATCAATTACCTCCCTATTTCGTTCTTCAAAGTGAATGTTATCATAGTATGGTGTTTTAGATGATATGAACGTTTTAGGTTCAAAAGAGGTCACAAGTGTAAGGGTTATGGGCAAAAAGAGAGATCACGACCATAAAGAGGGGGCTTGAACCAAAGCACGGAGATCACAGCCACCAAGGTTGAGATCGTGGCCATGGAAAATGAAGCCTAGGTCGCAAACTTCAGGAGCCACCAAGGGATACCATGGACTTTCGATAGTCGACTCAAAGTCCCTGTTGTCCGAGCCCGCGATAAAGTTCATGACCATGACATCTCAGATTGCGGCTGAGATTTCGAGCTGCAAACTTGGTACCCGAAAAGGAGTAAATCATCAACCTCCGAAATTGCGGCCTCAACCCAGAAGATCACGCCTGCGATCTTTGCCTCCTCAACTGTGAACTTTCCAGGCAACCGATCTCTATAAATAGGGTGCTCCTCCCCCTTCATTCGGGAGTTGAATTTCACTTGGAAAAATATGGTTTAAGAGAGAGAGAAGTTAGAGAGAGGAGCTCAAATAAGGAGATTAAGATAAAAAAAAGGAGGAGCCTAGAAGCAAGGGAGCCTTCCCCCATTTCAAGACTTCTTCTATATCTTCCTATGTATCTTCTTCCCCCTTTTATGGATTAGTTCTCTAAGGTACTAGGGGTTAAATCTCCAAATCCTAGATTTAAGTCTTTTAATGTAGAAAAATTTATGTTAGGGTTTGTGCATTGAATTTGTTTGCTTAGTGATTATATGTTTAATCTTTGATCAATTATGCATGGGCTTATCTCTCCAATTATTTTCATCTAGCCTACCACGTAGGAGTTTATGATCTATACTAGATTTGAGAACCTAATGCTAATTTGGATAGATGATGTGAAAACTTAGGGAACCAATTGGTCGACGAGGTGACCATCCCCTGCAAATCGGGTGGTCCTCCTAAGCAATGCTATAGTGATGCGTGCATGACCATTGACATGTCAAGCTAGTGTAAAAAAAGGTTACACCTATTGAAAGGGTATAGATCGCATCCCTAGTATGTTGACCTTGATCGAGGTGACATTGGGTCAAGGAATCGTGCTAGGAAGGGGATTAGTTGCATGACCATTGAACTAATCCCCACTTTAGTGAGTCACGCACCTTATTAACACAAGGCGAGGGTGGAACCCCAAAGTACCTTCTTTTATCTTTGCATCCTCCACTATTACTTTCCATATTACCTCCAAAAGAACCCTAAATGGAACGGCTAAATAACAACAAAGTGAGAAGTAGCTTAGGATATCGAAACCCATGGAATACGACCTTGGCCGACCACTATATTAGCAACTATGTATTGGGTTATACTTGTCTCAATATGGGTAGTTAATTAAGGTTTTGCAATCAATCTAAATAACCCGCACGGGGTTCACACCAACTTCTTCGTACCAAGAAGACTTCCTTCCACTAGTAGAGTGATTCAATAGAGGTGTCGAGGAAGGATGCTCCAATGTGGGACCTCCTAACACCACCCGGGTGAAATCCGAGTTGGGGTTAACAATGGAGACGTTCATGGAGAGTAACTCATTTTGAGCTTGCCATCAAGAACTTTGAAAGAACATGCTCCACCATGGATTTCCTACCCCTCCCTCCTCCCCATTTGATACTAAAAGAGAAGCTTGCACAAGCTTGTGCCTGCCTTCACCTCTTACCACTTAAAGAGGATGAGGAGTTTGAAGAGTCTATCAATGAGGGTTTTTACTTCCATTTCCTCTCAGATGTGTTGATACAATTTACTATCGAGGTTATGACAAATGTGTGGGATTCTACCAAATTTTTAAATCCAAATTTTTTTTCAAAATGCTCCTCCATGTTTCGATAAAAGTTATGAAACAATTGTCTCACCTAAGAAGCAACTGTCATAATGTTAAGTTAAGCCATCAAATGACTTTTCTTTTGGACCGGAGTGCCATTCGAGGATGTGTTTTTGTGGAAATTTTAGATAGCTTTCTACCATCCACCTCCAACCAACTACTTTTACCATGTTTCTCTACCAAGACCTCTCCTCCTCATGGAATTACTTGATTAGTCGCATCTCATGCTAGATGTTTCTTTTTCTATATTCAAGAGACCCGACTTTTGAATATCTCACATGTTTGCAACTTGTTTATCGTTTAGACGGGAGTGCATGTCGAGCATCAGTACTTGAGATATCATGCTTACCATATGCAATGCTTCGCCCACCTAACCCCTTACATCCTCTCAAACATCATTTTCCCCACATGAGGACTGAAAAGGGAAGTGAATGTTGCTTCCATGCTCTCCTTGAGAGCGAGCCCTTGTCTTGCAAAAAGGAAAATGTGGTGCCATGTTTGGCAAAGTTAAGTTTAGGCTTGAAAGTTTGAGTCCTTTTTAGAAATAGTAGGAGCACCACCGTGGAGTCCATTGCTTTTGATATGTTTTTCTTGAGAGTCCTCCAATGCACATGTGAAGTGTCTATACCTCTTTAGTGGCAAGGTCCTCATCCGGGGTTGTGTTGTCGCATTAAGGTGGAAGTGAATTTTCTTGTCTCTGATTGACTTTGAAAGTGCTATCAATGAGCTATAGTTCGTACCATTGTGATTTTATTGTAAGTTGTACTGGTTTGAGTAGGTTTGCTTGGGGACAAGCAAACAGTTAAGTGTGGGGGAGTTTGATTCAGGCATGATTGTACTTGTTTTACCGCTTTATAACTTGATTGTTTGACTTGGTAATCATCATTACTTTATCCATCTTACGATAGGTTTTGCTTCTTTTGTCATATTTTAGGCCCTATTTGTGTGGAAAGCTTAGGGGTGAGTTTCGGGACATTCGAAGAAGAACATGCCAAAAACTGGAGTATGTGCAATGTTCACGGGTTGAGGTGATTTCATGGTCTCATGGATTGAAAATTGTACCAAAACCACGAACATTACAAATTTCCAACAACTAGAATGCATCTCACGACCTTGTGCAAAGTTCACTACCAGAGGGCGTGAACATTACACACATAAACTATTCATTGTGCACTTCAATGCCTTGTGCAAAGTTCACTGCCAGAGGGCGTGAAACACTACTAAACCGTGAAGTATGCACTGCTACGGGTATGAATTGACAGCAACGGGTCTTGAGCAAAGGACTGGATTTTTTACCCCAAATTATCGAATGGGTGATTCTAGGGAGAGACTTAGGAGGGTTCTTGGAGCCATTTGGAAGTTCCCAACCCCTTTAGAGCTCGAAGATTATCCCTAGAAGATGAAGATGGAAGATTCGGGAGCATATTGTATTCTTTCTCTTCTTCTCTATATGAATTAGCTCAAAACAATGTTGGTGGTGACAATGTTAGATAGAGAAATCTTTAGAGAGAGGGAGTTCTCTTCCTGAGTGCGTGAGGGTTTTTGGGGTGAGATTGAGAGATTTTCATTTTTGCAGGTTTTCAGCAGGTGGGCACTCGCAGGAAGGCAACCCAAAGGATGATCCTCGCAAGTGATTACAGTCGCTCCAAGAAGATTACGATGGAGGAATATCGCATTAGGAAATAAGTGGTTCTCAAAATGAAGGTGGATGCAGAGTCTCTGAGTCGTTTCATATTCCTAGAAGCGGAGCATGCGTACTGGTTGGGACAACTAATTCAGAGCACCGCTAAGGGTTTGTGTGGGTCGAGAGCTATGAAGGGTCGAAAGATCTCTGTATCTCATTTTGCGAATCACTTCGGTGGTGGCCTGAAGATTTTGGAGGAGACAAAGGGTGGAAGGAGTTTTTACGTTCTGGTTCCGCGGGACCCGACCGGCTTGAGCATCCTCATCAACATGCTCCTTGCCATCCGTGGTCGTCCTACGGTTGAAAGATCACCCCTAAAACGCTCCGCCTTTGTGGAACCAGGAAGATCGTATGCTTCGGCACTCAAAGATGGCTTGATATTTAAGACATGTACTTGCAGATCTGTTAAGTCAGGGGAGATAATTTTTATTGAGGCTATTGAAGATGGCGTTGAAGATAGGACTTTTTTAGGTTGATTTCAGAGCTATTGATGTTCTAGACGAGGAGAGCTGGAATGGATTTTGGCCTTCTTAATATTATTTCTATTTCACGAGTTGCTGTTGCGCTTCCTGGACCATTGATTGATTTTGGAGTTCTACAACGTTTAGAACATTGATCTACCACCTGATCTAAAAGTTGACTTCAAACTTTGGGCACAAAAGCCTTGGAACCTAAGCGATAGCTTTCAGTTTGCAAGAAGGGTGGGGGGATCAATGGCTTCTGGTTTTCTTTCTCCCCCGGAGGCGATTCGTGTGCAAAGTTTTGGAATTTTAATGTGATCTTGCGTTTCTGGCAAGAACATGTGGTTCGTTTTTTTGATTGCCAAAGAGGCTTGTCCTGGGTTATGGCGTTCGAAATCCCCTACCACCTGCGTTGTAGAGATGTTTGTAAGAAGATGTGAGATCGCTGTGGTGGTTTTGTGGATGCGGATTGGAGAAACTGGGAAGATCCGTCAGTTATCATCAAGGTTAGGGCCGGTGGTCGTGTTCTGTTGGAGATTTCACTTATGTTCGGAACATCTCTGTCCCGATCAAATAAATTTTTTCCGCATATGGTGGGTCTGTCAGAGGTTGATTTGAATCGATGCCATCTTCTTCCGAGGGAGTTAATCGTCAAGAAGCAGGCAATCTTGTGGGTACGCGTGAAATGCCTAGGGTGCCTCCCGTGGAGACTTCTGGACTCCCCCCTACACGCATGGGACTTTCCTTCCATACCCATTTTATGGTGCTCATGCAAACAGCTCCCATGCCACGAAACTAGAGTGGGTTCGGAAAGTCAGGCTCCTAACCAAACCCTCCCCCAACCCGGCCCAAGTTCTGATTACTCCACTAAAGATCCAAGCCTTTTCTCATCTACCAGATTATTAATCCAAAATAACCTCTTCTCCCATAAGAGATTATTCCCACCCACCTTCACCATAAAGATAGTCAGCTGACCTTGATCTTCCCTAATTTGATCGTCCCTTCTCTCCCTTGCATTACTTTCCCCCTTCCCTACCAGCCTTCCTTACCCCTCTTCAAACAATTTTCCATCTTGCTTTCATCACCCTAGTTTTACCTACGTCAAGCCATTTTCCAATTGACCATCCCCAACTCAATCCTCTTACCCTATGTCTCGGATTTCCCCTTCGATTTTGATTTTGGTAGCTCAGAAGACCATCCAGATTCCCCTCCTTTCCCCAAACCAAATTTAATGGCAATTACTGAATACCGACCGATTGATCAAGGTTATATTACTAATTGGCGCTCCGAGCAAGTTTTGGCGAGCCTAATTGATTTTGGTCACTTTCCCATTAAATCTCATCATCTTACCCCCTGCCTCCCAACTTGTCTTTGATAACAACCCATTGGAGATCATTGAGTATCAACCGATATATCAAAATTATCTCAATGGCTGGCATGATGAGCAGGATCTCGTGAGGTTGACAGAAGTTGGTCGAGCTCTCGGTCAAATTCTGAAGTTGCATATTGCCGGCACTAATAAAAATGCAGATGTTCTTTTCACAAAGGTAGCTTATACACTTAAGCGCAAGAAAAAAGGGGAACCAAGGTCCAAGTTAAAAATTGAGGAATATTGTCTGAGAGCACAATCAATATCAATCACAACCCCCAGAACCCAAAGGAAGTCCAACTGGGCGGGAGAAGGGGATGATGAGACAACTTCTTCTAGACAGAACTGGAATGTGCAGACAATTACATAATGAAGATAAAATCTTGGCGTGGAATGTTCGTGGAATCTGTGATCCTGATTAGAGGGCAAGAGTTAAGGCTATCATCAGGTGGTGTAGGGCTTCTATTGTGGGTTTGATTGAAACGAAATGGAACACTTGCTCATAATTTCTAGTCTCTTCAGTTAGTGGTAGCAGGACTTCAAGATGGGTTGCTAGGGATGTTGTTCAGTCTCGTGGAGGCATCGCAATATTTTGGGAGGAAGCTGATTACTCTTTCCTTATCTCTTGGTAAGGGAGTATTCAATGGCGGTCAGGCTTGAAATTAATCGCAGCAAAGAGACAATGGTCATTGTCTTCGTTTATGGTCCTCATCATAAGGAAGGAAAATTGGCGTTTCTTAGTGAACTGGATTTGATTTGTCGCAGATACAACGCTCCGCTCTGCATCATGGGGGACTTAATCTTGTAAGATCGTAAGAGGATTATCGAGGGGGCCCTAGGTGTCGCGAATTAATGGTCGATTTCAACTCTTTCATTAACAACAAATGTCTAATTGATCTGCCGCTAAGGGGAGCACTCTTTATTCGAAGCGGCAGTGGCACTTGTACCTCTCTCTCTCGCGTATTGATAGGGCGCTTGTGAGCCTTGCTTGTGATGAATGTTTTTCTACCGGATCTTTGCTTGCAACTGAGAGGGTCGAGTCATTTCATATCCCGATCATGGTGCAATGGGGAAACTCGGAAATTACTCATCGTCCGTGGCAATTTGAGTATATGTGGTTGTTGGAGGAATCCTTTATGCATATCCTTGTTGGGTGGTGGAGTATTCCTGTAACAGGTTTCGACCTTCTTTTTTGTGCGGGCTAGAGATTGAGATAAACTAAACAACTCATTAAGTGTCGAAATTTGGAGCTATTTGGCAGAACACACCTCAAGATTGAGAACCTTCTTCGCAAGATAATAGAAATTGACGATTCTGAGGAAAGAGGCACAATTTCAGAATGGAAAAACAATGAGAGAAGTCTGTTGAGGTGCGACCTTGATAGAATCTTGCTGATGGATGAAATCTCATGGAGGCAGAATTCTAAAGAATTTTAGCTAAAGGTAGGTGATAGAAATTCTGCTTATTTTCACTGCGTGGCAAACAACAACCACAGGAGAAACAAAGTGCAAAATCTAAAGTTGGATGGAGTTGTGAATCGACTTTGAAGCAGGTGTTTATTAATCATTTTTGCAGTTTGTTCGTAGAGGAAATTTTTGAGAGGCTGTTTCCTAAAGACTTCAAGAAGGATACTTCAGCCTGGATGACAACACCCAACTCACGATACCTTTCACATAAGCTGAAATTTGGAAGGATATTTGCTCTTGTAATGGGAGCAAGGCTCTCGGACCTGACGGTTTTACACTCGATTTGTATAAAATATCGTGGAACATTATCAAAAAGGACGTAATTAAATATGTAGATGAGTTTTTATCACTGTTTCATACCCGACTCAGTGGCTCTTTCTTTTATGTGTTTAATCCCAAAAGAAGGAAGTTTCAACTGATGTTAAAGACTTTCGGCCTATCAGTCTGATTTGGAGCTTGAACAAGATTATCTTAAAGCTGATTTTCTTTCAGCTACAACCATTTATGGGAAGAGTTATTTCTCGACATCAATTCGCAGATATGAAGATGCGGCAGATTCACGAAGCGGGATTGCTTGCTAATGAATTAGTGAATAACATGATAAGGAGTAAGCATCTTGGTTTGGTGTTCAAGCTCGATACTGAAAGTGCATTCGACTCTGTTGGTTGGGATTGTTTTTTTAAGGTTTTGTAGAACATGGGACTGAACATGTGTTTCCGAAAGTGGATCCGGAGATTTGCAGTTACTCAAAACTCTCGGTTTTAGTAAATGGTGATGCTGGTGGGTTTTTTCAACTTCAGCAGGGTCATAAACAAGGAGACTCTCTCTCCTCTTTTCTTTTCTGCTTGGTAATGGATTTACTTTCCTTCATCCTGAATCAAGCATTGGAGGCAGGTCTTATCTCTGGCTTCTACATGGATGATGGAAGAAGAGTGGGAGAAGTTAATCATTTTCTTGACGCCGATGATGCTATCATTTTCTATGATGCATCGGAAGATGAGGTGTTCAATTTAGCAACCGCCTTGGTTTGGTTCCATACGATCACAGGACTTAAAGTTAATTTTTAGAAGACCTTCCACTTCTGGGCCTCTGCCACACATCGACAGCTTTCACCATCATACCTCCCTTTCCTCCATCCCATAATTTGGCGGCGACGAGGCGAGGCACCATTTGGAGCAGGTTAACGAAGGGGGACAAGAAAAATGAAGAACTTGAGAGAAGATGGTTTTCATATCTGGAAAGGAAAATGAGATAGATCTTATTTGGGTAGGTTGGTTCATGGGTCGGGTTGATTCCAGGTTTGGGCTGGGCTGGGCAAGATGATATGGCAAATTTTAATGACGTGGGGTTGATTACACGATTTTGTCCGCCACATAAGCACTTAACGGACTTTGTTAACGGAGATGGACGGCGACTAACGGAGAGTGACCAAATGTCAAAGTTTTCACTAAACTAAGTGACCACGAATAGAATTAAATATTTCTAGCAAAACTTTGACACCAATTTTTTTATTCTTTATTGACCAAACATGCAATTAACCCCTACTCATACAGATAATCTAATTTGACAAACTTTTAATAGTGGAGCAAACGTACAACTATACCAACAATGCAATAAGGAAATAATGAGACTTCTTCATTCATAAAAAGTATAACCAATTTAACAACTACACCCCCCATTAACGTCCATTTTGTTTCAATATGGATGTCAAATTAAAAAAATTTATCAAGACTTCTTTTATTATAAGGTTCTTCATCCATTGAATACGAGAAATCAGATTATTAGTAAATATTAATTACTTAAGTCGCACATCAAACAACAAAGTAATAACTTGATGAAGCTGTGGTGTAACATCCTTGTTCGTCTTGAACATGTCATATGTCATGCTCGAATAAAAGTGACGCCATCCCAATATTTGGGCGAGTTCTAAATTATGAACCAATCATTGAATTGATTAACTATGACATGAGGAAGGTGTTTGATTAGTTGGGTTACGATTACTCTTTTTAAATATAAAAGAGTGTGAAGTGAACTGAAAATTGAAGGGGTTAATTGTAAATAATGAAAAGTTGGATTGTTTAAGTGGCAACCAAGGTTTTGGTTGGGCCATTTGGATATTTATGATTGAGAAAGAAGAAAAATGGGGAGAGATTTATAGAGAATGAAGCTACAAAAATCTA